ATAGCTGGTCATTGTCTTTGTGCAATCCAAACAGCCTCTTGTCAGGAGGAAGATTGATCGCGCACACAAGAGGACAAGAGCGTTGAAGGAACGTATATGGGTCAGAAATGAAATGAGAAGGCAGCAAAAACGATCAAGACATTAATTTCTCCAGAAAACTTTCGATCACATCCGTAAATTGAACAACAGCTGCGAAAGGGACAAAATGGAAACCAGTTCTGAGAAGACTTCGATTGTCTGTGCACTTTCTACGCAGTTCCGTATGGTGGTTGAGCCATTTTTCACACTTTCCTTGATCAACACTTTTGCTGAATTGGATCGACCTTTCGTGAAAAACCTGATGACATGGGAAAATTCAAATTCTGAAAATTGATGGCAGTAAACATCTTGGTTTAGGGGTTCAGCTGCTCCGAATTGGTCGTCACAAGGTGGCTCCAGAACTTGGAAACTTGGTCAAATCGGGAAAGTTTTTTACAATGAACTTTAAAGTGCATGGGAAGATTTACCTGCTGGCGTTCATAATTTGAAGCACCCTTCAAATAACTCAGTAAGAAGAATTGTATGAGTCGGGAAAGTTGAATGTTCTATAGGGGGGGGGGTGATCAATCTTTCTGACTTTGTGTTTCTGTTGACTGCTGCAAGGGTTCAAGATCTGTACGAGGCCGGAATTTTGCCCAGTACTCGCTAACCTTGTGAGGGGAAGCCGGGAAATGGCTGGTATTCACAATCGTGAAATATGACCCAAAAGTAAAATGCCAAAGAATTTATAGAGTTGCCTGCTCAGTGCACGGGGATGGCGGAGGTGGTTAGCGGATGAGGTTCAGGAACAAGTTGCGCACACCATGGTCCAGAAACCGAGTTCTGGATCGATATCAACCCAACTTTTCAATTCTCCAGATTCAGTAATGGGTACCATACAGGCCCGGGAAGATAGAAGCAAAGACTTGTACTTTGGCTGGCCACAGAAAGTCATTGAGCTATTGAGCAAGTCATTGAAATACGAATTCGTTGCCATATTTTTAGGAATAGATAAGGTAGGACAAAGCATGCAGAAATCACTTCAACTGTACAGAAAAAAATTCAAAAAATGTAAAAATCAAGGAGTGAAATTTGGCGGTGAGGTGAAGTTTTTCGCTTGAATTCACTTAAAAAATTCTTACAAAAATTTCCTGTTTCATTGAATCTACTTAAAAACAAATCTCTCGGTGTTCTATTGCTGGCAATCATGCTTGTGGGATTACTTGGGCTTTTCTCAGCTTCGAATCGAAGCAGTGGTACCAGTGGATGTTGAGCGGCTCAAAGGAGGAAGTGCGCAGGTTATGTGAAGGAGAGTAGTCTGATGTTCTGATTTGGGTGTCAACAATTCGATAAATTTCGAGAGGGAACATCCTCACGGGGAATACGCTGTCAGTGCAGGATGTGTATGATAGGCCGAAAAAGTAGTAGGGCAGATGCTGTATAGTCCAAAATTATGGAAACACAGAAGAAATGGCTAACCCATAAATAAGGGTCTCCCACTCCTCTGAAGCAGTTGATTTTTGGAGCTGTGACAAAAGAACGCAAAGAGAGGGCCTTGGGTAAGTTTGCCTTGTCTTACAATCTAGAGAACCACCGATTTTCGTTTCTTGATTGCCTTTTTCATTCCAATTTTGGAGTCATATGTTATAGCTTGATTTCAAGGTTCCTCTTCTACTTTGGTACTTCTGCAAGGAAAAAAGGCTACTGAAAGATTTGCTGATAACCGGTGAGCCTGCACTGCATTGTCTTTGAGCTATTTTAGTCACAACAGTATACCTTTCTTTAAAGAGTTGCCTCCTCTCTCAAAAAACTGCCACTTCACTTGTCTTGATCGTAAGAGCCCGACATCGCGGAATGTGCCTACTAAGGCTATGTTGGCGGTAAGAACTCGTAACGACCTACTGTGGACATCGACGTAGTAACTCGTTCTAAACTATACCAAAAACTACGCAGGCGAAACGGGTGTTTGGTAAATTGTACTTCACTTCTTTTCTAACCATTCTCTGTGGCAATTAGGGCATAAATTCCCTACGAAGCTTGTCCTATTCAAAAGGAATGAGGTTCCAGCACATTTGCAAGCGTACAAGCGAAGAAGGGTGCACCGGCTTTGGTTGCGTTGACTATCCAAAAAAGTTATGTATAGTTATTAAGCCGAATCGGATGTGGTAGTTTGTTTCTTACTTGGAAATTCTCCTGCTCTGAGATTCTCGATGCACTGTTTAGTGCCTTTATCCTTCCGCTATGGCTACCAACCACATCGACTTATTTCTCTATTCTAACCATCTAATTGGTAAAATCCCACTACTAG